CAAGCTGGGAAAAATAGTTCAGTGAAGGAAAGGAAGACCTTCAAGAAGAGGGATTGACACAGTGACCACTAGAGTGGAACTGAGCATGGCAGAGATGGTGAAGATAGTGTTGTTCATAGGGTCATTATGAATCACAGTCAACTCAACAAAACATAATAACAACGATCCCAACTATACAAGCTAGGGATGTCTCAGAACAACAGGGCCACTACTAGTTGGAACTGAAATTGAAAATGAAATCCATTTCTTGTCCTAGATCTTATTTTGAATGAGATGAAGATCTCTGCCCTCATGACTTTTATTCTTCATCTCTGGCCCTTTATCTCTGATTTAATTCTGTCCTGAGGTTCCATTTATCATTTCATGAACACTTTTAAAAATGGAAGCTTTCCAGGAAGTCTTTCCCAGCAGTCTCATTCCATGGAATCATGCTTTAGCCATTTCAGCACTAAAAATCTTAACACGTTTCATTTCAGAGTACTGCTTCAATTCTTCCACTCATTAGAAAAGATTCATGACCAAAGACTGAGGTCAAGTGATTTGCTCATGATTTCATGACAACTTATGACTAAACCTAGAAGTATGTGTAGATAATCACAGACCTGGGAATTAGTATCTTACATACCTTTTCCAGTTTTCCACATTAAGACAGAAACTCCTTTCTATTGTTACTGATAATATTAGTTGCTATGGAATTTGCTCTTCACTCATGATAGCTCATATAAAGAAACAAAATGCTGCTTGGTCTTGTGTCATCCTCCTAATCACTTGTAGATTTCCCCGCCTATTGTGATTTATACACTGAGAAAAATAATTAAAGAAGCTAGACTCTGTAAAGAAGAATGTAGGATCAGGATCAGAGGAAGATTCATCAACAACCTGAATTATGCAGATGTAGCAACCTTGCCTGCTGAAAGTGAGAAGGACTTAAAATGCTTGCTACAGAAGATTAAAGACTATAGCCTTTAATATGGATTATATCTCAACATCAAGAAGATAAAAATCCTCACCACTGGACCAATAAGTAACATTATTATAGATGGAGAAAAGATTGAAGTTGTCAGTGATTTAATCTTACCTGGACCCACAATCAACACCATTGGTACTAGCAGTAAGAAGATTAGGAGATGTATTGCATTGGGCAATTCTGTGGTCAGGGATCTCTCCAGATTACTGAGTAGCAATGATGTCAGTTTGAAGACTAAGGTGCACCTGATCCAGACCATGGTCTTTTCAATCAATTGTTATGCATCTGAGAGCTAGACAATAAATAAGAATGATAGAAGAATTGATGTCTTTGAGCTGTGTTGGAGGAGAATAATGAATATGCTATGAACTGCAAGATGAAAAATGGATATTGGATTGGAGAAGGTGCAACCAGCATTTTTTTTGGAGACAAAGATGACAAAGCTTCATCTCATATACTTCGAACATGTTGGTAGGAGAGCCTATTTCTTGGAGAGGACACCATGCTTGGAACAGTGAAGTGTCAGTGAAAGAGAGGAAAATTTTTGACAAGATGGCACAGTGACTCTGGCAATGGGCTCAAGTGTGTCATAGATGATGAAGATGATGCATGATAGCACAAGATTCAGATCTGTTGTTCATAGGTCTCTATGAGTCATACTCAACTCAGCCACACCTACCAACAGCAACATTGATTGCCTTTGGAAGTAGATAGCTGGGTCTTCCTCCCTAGTCCATCTTAGTCTGGAAGCTCCACTGAAATCAGTATCACAACAGCATGCACGCCTCTAGTGACAGAGAGTTGATAGCTGAGCATGAAATGTATTGGCTGGGAATGAAATACCCTTCCTTTGCATGGAAAGTGAGATTTCTACCACTGAAGCAACATTTCTCCCTTTTTCTATAGATTCTCATTTATGTGAGAACATTAAAAGAATACACTTAAATCTCAAGAGTTTAAGCAGCAGAAGGTAGGTGCTGTGAAGACTCTGAATTTATACTAGCAACAGCTCATCTGCCAAAACCGTGTGACTTGGGCTTTTGGTGGACACTCGCATTGCTCACATTTTCCTGGCTAAGCTCCTACCTTAAAATTATCAGATTATTAGTTGAGTAGATGATTTAGGGTGCTAGGTTCTCCACCCTAAATGACTAGTTCACGTAATCTTTGGGAAACACCCAGTTATCCACAAGAAACTAAAAAAAAAAAAGAACAGAGTAAAATGTGGAAATTAGAAAGATTTCTTTTTCTTTCCACATTCTGACTCTTTATATAATTATTGGATGGAAACAAAAAATAGGTTTCCTAACTGCGTTTTATCTTAGAGCCAAATGTGGTGTACTCCTGGTTGGAATTCTAAAATCTGTTTGTAAAGTTGGATCTTAATTGATGATTGAGTTTATAGATAACTTGGCTCCTGAGTGGATAAAGGACCAAAGGAAAAAAAAAAATTCAGATAATAGAGATAAGAAGTCTTAGAGGTTTATTGTTGTTATTGTTTTGTGCCCTCAAGTTGCCTGTGACTCATAGAGATCCTATGTTCAATAACTCTGAAGTTGGACATATCCTGAGCCAGTCTCACTGATTCCAATACACCTACCCCCGTTGCCTTACTTACTGTATCAATCCATCTCATCCTGATCTTCCTTTCCCGCCCTGTACTTCCACCCTTCCAAGCATGATGTCCTCCAAGGATCAGTGCTTTCTGGCCACATGCCCAAAATAAGTGAGAAGAAGCTTCTAAATCCTAGCCTCCAAGGAGAAACTTGGTTTCACCCTATACAAGACAGACCTATTTCTTTTCTTTGCAGTTCATAGTATATTTAAGACTCTTCTCCAAACAGCACAACTCAAAGGTATCAATTCTTCTTCTATCCTCCTTTGTCATTATCCAGCTCTCTGATGCATAACAAGCAATTGCGAAGACCATGGACTGGATCGAGCACCCCTTAGTTCCTAGACTGACATAATTGCTTCTCAGTACTCTGGAAAGGTCCCTGACAAAAGATATGCCTAATGCAATTTGTCTTTTGGTTTCCTGACTGCTGGTGCCAAAAGTGTTGTTGGAGGATTATACATTATTTTTAATAAGAGAAAGATACATTTGAGCCTCACCAAGCAACAGGTAAGTAAGTGTTCAGTCCAATCCATCAGCAAAATAGTCTACTGAGGCATCTTTGTCCAACCTCTTTTTCTCAAAGTAAATGCACTGAGTTCATGACACAAAACACTGGTATTCATAAATTGGGTACTTTATTTTGATAGACAACTATCAATCAGTTGAGGACTGAAAGAGCTCAATTTCTATCAACCTATTGTGCCGTTATTAGGTCCTGGGAAGTGAACTAGAACTCATAGTGACCCTATGAGCAAGAGATCAAAACTTTTTCCCATCTGACATCATCCTCAGAAATTCCACCATGTTCAATCTTCTTGTTGCAATCACTGTGTCAATCCATTTTGTAGAGGGTCTTCCTCTCTTCCACTGATCCTCTAATTTTTCAAGCATGATGTCTTTTTCCAAGGACTGATACGTCCTGATGACATGTCCAAAGTAAGATGGTTTCACCATCACCAATACAAAAGTACTCTTATACCTAGAGTATTAGGAATCTGGCTTCCCTCATTTCATTGGTGAATTCCAACTTTACTAGCACTTCCACTTTGAATTCTTTCCCTAGACTTTGAGGTAGAACTGAGCACTTCCCTCCCCCCCCCCCCCCCCCGCCACAAGACTTTTCACATTCTTACAGAGCTTCACCCTACTAGACTGGCTACTGCCAGAGACAATGCCTTATTCACCTTTGTAACTCTAACATATAGCAAAGTACCTGGTACCAGGCAGGCACGGAATATGCAATGCTATGAACCGCATGAATGAATCTATGAGTAAAGGGTCACCTTATATAGGTAGTATTTCAATTTCCTTTTATCCATTAATTTGTGATCATGTTTACTGTGTATTTCTATAGCCAGTACCAAATTTCATGCTGGAAGAGAGTTAGGAAATCTTATCCTACAAGATATTTTTGTTTCCTCTTGGTGGCTGGGTAACTTCCTCTCTACCAACCCCTCCTCATTTCAGTTTTAAACTATGCTCTCTGACTGCAGTGGTCTGCTAAGTCTTCCAGTGAGTGAACTCTAGGTAGGCTGAGTTAGGAACATTTGGAATTGTCTAGAAGAAGCTCTTTCCTACCACTTAATCTCACGCTACATCAATTTTCCATCTCTGACAGAGAAATAAAGACATGAATTTTTTCAGGGCACCAGTTTATCATTATTTATTTTTCTGAATAATTTCTCTAGTTAATTGAGTAAAATATTTGAAGCCAGAACAAATAAAGATCACATTTACTTGTTTGTTTGTTTATTTCAGATGTTTGCTTTTGTAAAAGGCTGAGATTGAAGAAGACCATCCGGCTTCCCAAGGGAAAACAAAACTTCATAAATTGAAAAAGCAGTGAAACAACCCATATATGAAGAACTCCTGGGTTCAAATACAAAGATACTCTCATTTCTAAAATATTAACTTTTTCTAGACTGAAAGTTGGTCACTGAGTAAAGATGACAGAAGAAGAATTGATGGCTTTCAGTTGGAGTGTTGGAGAAGAGTACAGAAAATCCCATGAACAGCCAAAAGGTCAAAAATGTCTTGGGGAAAGTGCAGCCAAAAATAATAAAACTTTATCTCACATACTTTGAGCATGTTGTTTAGAGGGGCCAGTCCTCGGAAAAAGACATGCTGCTTGGGAAGATAGAAGATCACTGAAGGAGGGGAAGACCTTCAACCAGATGGATTGACACTGTAACTAAAATGGTGGACAGTGTGACAGATGATAAGGATGGCTCAAGATAGGGCAAAATTCAAATCCATTGTTCACAGGGTCACTCTGAGTCATAATTGACTCGACTATGCTTAACAACAGACTGAAAGATTCAGGTGTAATAAAGAGAGCAAGGAAATCTAACATCCCAGGGAGAAGAAGTGGGAAGGTCTGTGAGGGAAAGGAGAGTTCTGAAGGAAATGACACACCTGAGGTCAGTCTTGAGGCCTTCTTTGGAATCTCTCAACCCCTTCTTTTCTTGTGGCTGTCCAATCATAAAAAAGGTGTTCCTGATGGTTGGGAAATCTTCCAGCAGAGCTCTCAGGCTATTGTAGTATGCCATGATCTGACTCCGGAGAGCATAGTGGGACATGCGATTGTTGAACCTAAAATGTCAAAAGAAGAGAGGATCTCTCCTGAAGGTCAATTCAAATTATTCTACAACTAACCAGAGCTCCAGGATCTATTTCCTTGGACAACTTTTAAAAGAGAGTAAAGTACTTTTGCCTAGAAGACATTTCCTTCTGGGTCAGGTTGCCTGAAGGCAAAGGCATGGACTCTTTCAAAGAGTTTTCTATCCTTCTGCTGCAATTCTGCTTCTCGAAGAAGGGCCGTTTAATTTAGATTTATGCAATTGGACTATAGATTATTTAGTGGGAGAAAGATGGATAATCTCCTCTCATGTAATTTATAGCCTCTTATAACTTGCTCGAGGGAGCTCTGGTGGCCTAGTGGCAAGAAGCTGCACTGCAATCCTGAAGGCACGCAGTTTGAGGCTACCAGCTGCTCCGTGGGAGAAGGATGGGCTGGCTATCTCCACCTATGTGATTAACCTCTGAAAACCTGCCTGAAGGTCAGCTACGGGTCATTTGTGACTCTACAATACACAACAAAGCAACAACCACCTGCTGGAGGGTTAACTATGAGTTGGTTCCCCTTCTATGGCAATGAGTGATTGAGTATAATGTATGTAGAGTCCCTGGTGCAGTTAACACATTCAGCTACTAGCGGAAAGGTTTGTGGTTTGAGTTTACCCAGAGGCACCTCAGAAAAGTGATCTGATGATTACGTTCCCCAGTCCAGACACTGCAAACCCTGAGGAACCCAGTTCTGCTCTGGCCGCTCCCACGGGATCTCCTTAAGTCAGAGGCAACCCAATGGCAATTGGTGGTTTATTTTAAACACTAACTACCATAGTCATTGTGTGGATTTCTATGCATAATACTCCTGTTTACTTAATTCAGAGTCTGAGAAATCAACATGTATCGCTGTCACAGACTATACTTACTTCTGACAGTATTCAGCTATTACATCTCTCTTGACTTTCTCGATTTCATTCTGTGATAGAAGATAATGATAGTTCTTGTATTAGTCAGCTGGAGGAACTACCCCTCCCAGTGCATGCAAGCAGAGTTTCAGCAAGGAAAGGTCACACAGTTGGGAAATTGTTTTCGAAGGTGTATTTGCTGGGATGGATCTCTTTCCCTTTTATATATCTTGCTAAGTACACCAAGAAAGATATGCCCTGCCCTTTCTTTATCTGGGCCATTTCTCAGGGTTGTTCACAATGAGCAATCTTGAGCTTTGAGGTAATGACTGCCTCTGGGGGAAAAGTAGTCTTATGAAGAAAGAGGTGCATGCCCCAAGCTAAATGTTTCCCAACTGTGGCACAAACCCCCATATGTATCTGGGTCAATCCAAGTTGCCTGCAGCAGACTTGGAAGGTAAAGGGAACAGACACAAATATAAAATCCATGTCACACGATCACTGGTGAGTAATTAAGTCTTCTCACTCTGCTCTGGGAGTTTTAGGTGTTCTTTCAACATCAATGGAAGAGTAAGAGGTTAACTCTTTAGTTTGTAAGGTAAAATCTCAGACTATGACAAAACTGAGCTCCTCAGTTCATGAGTCATTGTAGTTTTCACTTGGTCAATATATTTTTTTATTTTTTTTACCAATTGTTCATTAGGCGTGTCCCTTTGTCTCCAACATTGCTTAGTACTAATCTGGAAGTTCTGCCTCCATCATATTCAATCTGTATGACTGAATTAGATAAATTCTATATCATGGAAGATATGTCATTTTAGTCACAAAACCTGGAGATTAAAACCTTTGTCAGTTTTCTCCTAAATAACGATGTCCTACTAGTTTAATGATTTCTTCATCAAAAGAGTAACAGATAATGAAATTATGGTCACAAAATTCACCAGTTTGAAGTTCAGAGCATTTTTCAATAGATTAGGCTAATGTAGAACCCTTAAATAGAAACACAGTTATAGTGTGTGAAGAATCAAGACGTAGGCAACGAGCTGGTAAGAGTTCTCCCTCACTTATATTACTTAGGAATGGTCTCAGGTTCAAGGTGGATGCTAAAACTTGTGGGTCTGGAAAGTGATAGAACAAAATGACACCTGGGAGAAATGTACACATTTAAAAAGTAGACTGCTACTAACTTGAATGGATTCCCTCTTATTTTTATTGAACATTCCTTCTCAGTTCTTTTCATATTGAACATTCCTTTCCATTCTTTTCAATATTATTTAATGATTCTCTCCAAATAGACTGAGAACAACAAATTCTAAGACAAGGATTTATCTTTGTTCAAATATAAAACAGGACCAGAGCTTTGAGCTGCTCTTCTCAAGACATACTCACAGGGCTCTGCATTCTGTCAGCCATGGTTTGTTTCTTAAGAAGGAAAGTGTTCAGCATGGTATCCCTTAGCCCCACCTTTTCTAGTTGAATAGATATAAAAGCCTCTGGAGCCCTGAAAAGTAAAGAGGACATGTGAACCCAAGACAGGAGGTAAGTGGACATGCAAGAAGAGATACCCTAAGCGCATTCTGGAAGAGAGACACCTGGACTGTGAGCTGGATGTTGACTCAGAAGAGCAAGTGGTTCTTCCTCCACAGTGTTCACCTACTTTGAGTGTGTTTGTCAATCACCTGGAAAGCTAGCACACCACCATCCTCCTTAGGGAGCTCCCTGTACCTGAAGCTACTATCAGCTCTTCCTTTATGTCCAAATTTCACAGTCAAGACTCTTTTGTGTCTTCCGAGCCTGATTTCTACTGGATTGAAATGCACTTTCAAGGCTGCTGTGGACTTGGGAAATGTGGACTTAGGACACTTGAACTCTGGCCATGATTCAGATAAATAATACTTAGAGTAAGAAGTAGCTTTTTATATTCTTGTTGTTGTTAAAAAAATCAGAATTAAGTTAGACTGTCACTAACATGCTTCAATAAATCACCAAGAGTTTTCCTAATTACAGAGAGAATATAAATGTCATATGAAGAGTGATTACAGGTAACAGAGAATTCTTTGTCCCTTATTGCCTCCTAGTCTAATGATAAGGATTTTTACTTTCTTGATGTTGAGGTTTAACCCATATTAAAAGCTATAGTCTTATCTTCTGCAGTAAGTACTTCAAGTTCCTTCATATTCTGTAAGCAAGGCTGTGTCATCTATATAGTGCAGGTTGTTGATCATTCTTTCTCTAATCCTGTTGCCACATTCTTCTTCATATAGCCTAGCTTCTCAAAGATTGAATAGTATAAGGACATGATAGAACACTGATCCTTATCCTTTATTTTAATCTTGAAATATTCTTTTTTATAATTTTTTTAAATAACATTTTTTTAATACTGGTTTACTTATAAAATTCATATACATTGTTTTTCACACTAGATCTTTCCAATTTTCTTTACCCACCATCCCTCCATCCACCAAATTGTGTGACCTCGTGATTAACCACTCTCCTGACCCTCACCATCCCACCCCTCACCCATCCACACTCCTCTGCTCCCACCCTTTCTCCCTTGGATCCTCATACATGTTCTACAATGATGGTCTTATACAATATTTGTCCTTATGGGACTGAATTAGTTCACTTAGCATAATGTTCTCTAGTTCCTCCCAAGTTAGGTAGTAATTTACAAAATCATTGTTCCTCCTGCACACCTTTTTACATTTTAAATCATGCAATATTCCCTTGTTCTGTTCAGACAATGGAGTCTTGGTATAGGTTTTGCATGAGCACAATTAAGTGTTCTGAAATTCTCATTGCTCTCAATCTTAGCCAAAATTTGTTATTATCCATACAAATATCTATACATAGTCATGAAAATACAGTATTTTTCACGTTCTGTACTCTATTAGTCAAGATCCATATGACATCAGCAATGATCAATTGCTTCCTAAATATCTGAAAATTGGACAATGAATAAGGATGAAAGAAGAATAGATAATTTTTTGGCAAAGACTAGTTAAAATCCCACGGAATTCCAAAAGAACAAGCAAGTCTCTCTTGGAGGAAGTGGAACCAGGATGCTTCTTAGAGGCAAGTATAGTGAAACTTCATTTCATGTTCTTTAGGCCTGTTTTCAGGAAGGACCAAGCCTTAGAAAAATAACTCATGCTGGGAAAGGTGGAAGATAATCAAGGGAGGAGAGGACCATCAACAAGATGGACACACACAGTGACCGAAACAATGGGTTTAGGCATGTGGGAGATTGTAAGGATGGTGCAGGATAGGGCTTTTCAGATCTGTTGTTCACAGGGTCATTGTGAGTCACCATCATGTTGATGGCATGGAACAATGACAACAATACGTCTTATTTGTAGATGAGCTCTGGCAATGTAGTTCATAGGGAACTGCACCAATAACCTAAAGCTACACATTCCTGATAGTCTGAATCCACTTGTGGTTCTAGGAAAAAGATGGACAATCTCCACCATGTGATTTATAGCTTCACAACTCAGTGAGGGCCAGTTAGGAGTTGGTTCTGAGTCAAAGGCAGCGAGAGGGGGTTTTGGTGTTTATTTGTTTTTTTTATCTGCAAATTGACACTGTGGTTGATAAGGTTACTATTTCTGACAATGCACCATCCTATTATCCTATGAAATGGTCAATTTCTGGCCTTCTCAATTTAAGATAGTTATGAAAGATTTGGAGAGGTATGAATATCTTCTAGTGTTCTACCTTTTTTGGAGTTTGAAATATATACAGAGAAAGAAGGATTGGGGGAGGGAAGTAGGAAAGAAAGAAGAGGCTGAAATGAGTAAGTTGTTGCCTCTCCTTCACAGCCTGGAATATACTGGAAGTTGCTGTGTCTTCTCGGTTTTCATATAAGGTCTTCAAAACTAAGCACACACTGTGAGAGTTTAGGTTTCCTTCAATACCATAATATGACACATTTTACCATCTTTAAAGAGAATACTTTTGTTATTTTAAATAATTCTGTGATAGTACCTTTTGATAGCTAGGAGTCTTCCTGAAGGATGTGCAATGGTGTCTGGAACTTCTGGAGTTGTAGCTAACAGAACACTCTCAACACCACTCAGAGCTCTGGAATATCTTCTGATTGAAGCCAGCCCACCGTGATTCTTCAGGTCTGAACTTGTTTCCTAAAACATTTTAAAACAAAAGTCATTGTTATGTACCTAATCTTATAATATTTATTGCTGTGTACCATTCAGGTGGAACCAACCCATAGCTGACCCTTCAGCATGTTTTCAGAGGCAGTAAATCACATGGGAGGAGACTGCCCATTTTTCTTCTGCAGAGCAATTGTTGTATTTGAACTATGTGCCTTCGCTATAATACTCCCCCCTCAAATATCTCACAGTCGCAGTTTAGCCTCTAAATATCTTTAAATTCCTGGGTACACAGAAAGGAGAGAAAGTAGAGACACCATTTGACACAATGAAGGAGTAAGACATTAAAACAAACACCAAGATCATCTCAGATAGCTCTGGTAACTTAGTCCACAGGAAGTTACGCTGCTAATCCAAAGATGGCACCTCTCTGGTGGTTCAGTTCCACTAGTGGCTTATTGAGAGTGGCTTATTGAGATGTAAATCAGATACCACTTTGCACAATGTAAGAGTAAGGGATTAAGGGTGGCTTTTTACAAAATAGAGTCCAGAATAGAGGTTTCTAAAACACCCTAAGAAAGAGTCTCCAGTCTATAAAGTAGCTAGTTGTGGTGGCATCTTAATAAATACCTTTCATAGACTTCATGACTGTAGTATTTGGGAACGTTCCTCAAAGTGACCATTCTGGCAGGACAACGTAATGATGAATAAAGGAGGGAAAGGTGGAGAGAAAGAGCAGAGAGAGAAAGGAAGGAGAAAAGGGATGATGAAGACAAAAAAGGAAAATTCATATCCTTCCAATACTCTTGCTGGTTATGGAAATGCAGAGCCTGATAAATGATAGTCTTTTCTAGTCGGATTTTTTCCTAAACTACCAACTGGGGAAGGGGGGGGAAGAGACTCTTTTTCTTCAAATAAATAAGAACTTATCCATATCAGAATTACTGAAGGTAAGGAAAATGAGGCAGAAAGAAGATAATAACTCAGGTCAAAAGAGGAAAGTCTTCAGCTTGAATTTTTCTGACCTTCCCTGGGTATTTCAGTGTCTTGGAAATAGTGTATACCAGTCAGGAGACCATGAGTGGGAAGAAAGCACAGTTGTGCACAGATCCCAGCAAAGCCATTTATTAAATAATTGTCTGGTTCTTTTTTTTTTTTTGGCATGTCAGAGGCTATTTATTCAGCAAGAAAATGTATTTGCAAAAGTTATTTTACCTTCCGGACAATAGAAGGTACATGCAATAATTCATGTGTGTCAATGTGGCCATGATCTTCAGGATAATATAACTGTTCTATGTGTTATACATTCCAGCTTCTGTGAGGTTAATGAGGCAAGATTGCAAGTAGATCTGTAAAGTTATTATTAGGCGTATCTGAATAAGGGGAAGTCTCAGGGATGTGGTTTACATAATATATATGTTTGAACTCTGGCAAAAGAGCTGCAGAATTTGATCTCCTATCTACATTTGGCTCTCTGTCTTATGGTCTACAAACCTGAAATAGTGACCTGCCACACTTGCTAACTTTGGGCTCCATATTATCTCAATTCAGCTGTCTGACCCTGCTTTCCAACAACCACCTTGTACTTATCACCTTCTAAAGCTGGTAGCCTCCAAAGCCAACAGCATGCTGACAATTTGGATGTTTCCTCCCTAGATACCTCTTTCTTGAGGTCTAAGCTACAGACCTGGGACCTATCTCTACGGGGTGTTGTTTGCCATTAAGTCAGAACCAACCTAAAGCTGACCCTTCCCATATTTGACTTCACAGCAGGTTTTCAGAAGAATGCCCATCCTTCTCCCACTGAGCACCTGTTGGATTCAAACTGGGTGCCTTTGGGATTGCAAGACAGTTTCTAACCAATAGGGCACTACAACTCCCTATCTGTCTGAGTAGGTGAGCCATTTCCCTCAAATATAACTATTTTTCTCTCTATACAAGCTTCATTGGGTTTGCAGAATTAAAATGGCAATTCCCCGACTTCATTAGTCTCTAACCCTCACTCAGGATCTCAGTCCTACCCATTTTTCATTTATATCCTCAGTTACTTTATCTCCTCCAATCTCTTCCTACCAAGATAATCACTTGGGTTGTTTCCACGTTTTTACTATTGTGAATAATGTTGCAATGAGCGTGGGAATGCATGTGTCTCTTGTTGCCACCACTCTCATAGCTAGGATATATGTCTAAGAAGAGCATTGCTGGATTATAAGGGTATTGGGATTTTTAGTTTTTTGAGGCAGCACCATATTGTTTTCTGTTGTGGTTTTACCATTTTAAAATACCACCTGCAGGATATGAAACACACACTCTCCTTGCAGCCTAGTAAGTGTCTGGTTTTTGTCTTTTTTTTTTTTAATCATTCTCATTTTTCCAAGTGAGATAATATCTCATAATGATCACAAACATCTCTCTAAGCATTTGTTCACAGCTTCAATGTCCTCTTTGCTGAAGTGTCTGTTAATGTCTTTGCTCATCTTTAAAAATGAGATCATATTTTTGCTGTTTTTGGTATTCTCTATATATTTTAAAGATTTGGCACTTGTCGGGTATTTTGTTGCTGAAAATTATTTCCTTATCTGTAGGTTCTTTTCTTCTTCTTCTTTGTTGTATACTGTCTAATTGATCCAACTGGCACAGGAACAGATTGTCCCCCCTTTTCCAGTAGATCATCTGGTAAATTCAAACTATATACCTTTGGGATTACAGCACAGCTTCTTGACACTAGGCCACCAGAGCTCCCTTTCAAGTAGTCTTTTGATGGATGTAAGTACTTAAATTTTAGGAAGTCCTAGTTATCTAATTTATCTTCTGATGTTATCTAATTTTAGTTGTGTTTGAGGAGAATCGAATAAGAGTGAAGAGATAATGAACATTGTACTGGAACAGATGAAAAGAACTGTTTAAAATGAATATATGATTAGGCATTATATGCATGACAATAGCCCAGAATAAGAGGTACACTGAAAGAGGACTGAGTTGGAGATTGTGCTACAATGAATGAATATATTTTTTTAAAAAACTGAACTAGAAAAGGGGAAAGGGAGGTAAAATGTGCAACAATGAATGAATTAAAATACAACTTTTCTGTAAACATTTGTTAAAATCACAATTAAAATTAAAAAATTATTAAAGAAAGTCTATTTATGCAAAAAAAAAAGGACCCCTGGTTATGTCCCTATGTTCTCTTGCAGGGAATTTATAGTTTTAGCTTTAACATTTATAACTTTAATACAGCTCTTCCTTTTTTAAATACTCTCTTTTGACTTTCATGTTACTGTTGTTAGGTATCATCACACCAACTCTGACTCATACGAACCCTATGTATTACAGAACAAAATACTGCCTCATCCTGCATCATCTATACAACTTCTCCTATGCTTGGGGAACTCGCTGTGTCAATCATCTCATTGAAGGTCTTCTGATGATAACATGTCCAAAGTATGTGAGACAAAATTCTCACCATCTTTACTTTTAAGGAGCACTTTGGCTGTACTTCCACAAAGAAGTTTGAGGTTTTGGCAGTCCATGGAGACGAGGGGCTGTATATAATCAATATTTAGAAGGCGGTACTGGCAAAAGGTAATGATTGACTGTCACAAAGCAAGGAAGCCACAGAGTTGAGACTAAACTCAAGTTTTAGATCTGAATGATGACTCAGATGGAGGTGAATGAAATGAAAATCAAGAAAATACTGGTAAAATACATGATGGAAAGATGACTTCTTTTTTTAAAAATTATTTAAAGTACATGTAGAATATCTAAAATTTGTCTGGGAGATATTTGAATATGCTGGTCTGGGATTTGAGGAGAGATTCTGTAAAGAGACATTAACATTCTGTGAAGATTTGGAAGTTGAAAGTCTATTGGAGATTATAAACATCAAGAGTTGATCTATTTTTGGTTCATAAGTATTATTATTGAGTGTTTATGCTTGTGTATGATATGTGCCTCCCTTAAATCTTGTTATGACACATAACCTGTCTAAGGTTAAAAAAATTTGATGAAATCCCCCAGGGATGTAACTTAAAATGAAATAGAATAGTAATAAATTAAGTATACAAGGGAACACCAGCATGTAAAAAGTGGGTGCAGAAGAGAGGGCTACCTCATTCTAGAAAGAAGCAGCTAGAAATGCAGAAGAGATCCAGGAAAGAATGGAGTCAGGGAAACTGAGGAAGGAGGACAAGAGAGTGGTTGACAGTGTACGACAGAGAAAAGAAGTCAAGTAAAAATGACTAAAAAGTAGTTCTTGAGATGGCATTGCCAAATGTTTTCCCCAATCAATAGGCTTTCTTTTCAGTCTATTGGAAAAGTTTTGAGGCACACAGGATCTTTAGAAGGCCCCATTCATCAATGGTTCTCTCTCCTGTTTGTGCATTTCCGGCTGTATTTGCTAGCCTAAGTGTGGCTCCATTATGATGTTTATGGTTTTGGGCTTTACTCCTAGGTTTTTGATCCACCTTGATTCAATTTGTATATATGGTGGGAGATGTGGATACTGCTTCAGCTTTCTGCAAGTAGAAGTCCAATTTTCTCCTTACCTTTTGTTGAAGAGGAAATGCCTTCTCAGAAAGGGACTCATAATGAAAGTTTACAGAATACTACAGAGCCTTTACAAGAAAAAGACTAATAACCCAACTATAAAATGGACAAAAGATATGGAAAGACTGTTCCCAGAGGAAGATAGTCAGATGACCAACAAAAATATAGAGATGCAAATTAAAACCACAGTGAGAGCCATCTCACCTCAGTAGTAGTGGCAAAGTATAACAGGACAGCAAGCAGTAAATGTTGGAGAGGATGTGGAGAGATTGGAAATCTTATATTCTGTTGGTAGGATTGTAAAATGGTATAACCACTCTGGAAGGAAGTTTGATACTTCCTCAAAAAGCTGAACATAGAAATTCCATATAACCCAGCTATTCCATTGCTGGGAATATACCCAAATTAAATTAGAACGGAGACACAAATAGAGATTTATACACTGATGTTCATAGCAGCATTATTCACAATTGTAAGAACGTGGAAACAGCTTAAATGTCCATCAACAAATGAATGGATTGAGAAATTGTAGTACATTTACATGATGGAATACTATGCAGACCTCAGGAGCAACGATTTTAAAAAATATTACATAATATGGAAGATACTAGAACATGATGTTGAGTAAATGCAACCTCATAAGGACAAACACTGAGTAAGACCATTATTGTAAAAATAGAAGGATAACTTGTAAGATGTGTATGAAAGTACAAGAGGGGAAGGAGAGGGAGCAAGGTTGCTGAGAGTGGGGAGAGGGAATATTTGGTGAGTGGAGAGTATGGTGGGTAGAAGGAGAGGGTGGAGGAACTGGGAAAGATCTAGTGAGGACCTAAAAATGATGGGCATAAATCAGTGGTGATTAATTTTATAAAACCCAGCATATGGGACTCTCATATGAAATACAACATAAGTGAAGGAATGCATGAAACACAATGTGTATGAATGAAATACAGTGCATATGAATTTTGTATGCAAACCTATATAAAATAATAAAAATATTCACTGTCTTTAATAATCCAGAGGTCATTATTAAATCTAGTGAGAGCAACTTCAGAGGATAGCTTCACCGAGTGGCAAAGTGGATGCTAAATTTCATACAGACATAGTGAACTACAATGGAGCTGAGGATTTAAAAGAC